TACAGCCAGAAACTTCCTCAGGATGCTACAAAGCAAGTTCCTCAAGTCACGGTACCTCCCCTGGACAACTTCCCCCTGCACCCCATGACAACCTAAGAGGGAGGTAATATTCTCCCCGCTTTACACAAGAGTAAACCGAAGTTCAAAAGGCCACTGACTCACCCAGGACATGAAGCCTGTAAGTGGTATTAAGTAGGTAACTGGAAAAGCAGTGGAGGCTCTTCCCCAGGGATAGAAATCAAGACTGACCAAGAAAGGTTTAAAAAAACCACAGAAGAATTTGAGTTGAAATAAAAGATTTTGCTTCATTAAAGGAATTCCCACCAGGCACTGGCCAGGAGACAATTTTATGGGCAAGTAAACTTCCAATGACCTTAAACTTTCCAGATCCCTGCTTTGCTGGAAGAGAGGGGTTGGCCTGCTGTCCTTGGACTTTCCCAAGATCTGGGCCTCCCTTTGCAACCCTGTCGCCTAATCCCTGAACGCAGGGCAAGCTGCTGGCCCCAATAGCTCAGAGGCACAGTGGTTGTTAAGATTAAAAAGGATAAGGGCCGGCCGAGTGGCGTGTTGGTTAAGAGCTGGCTTGGGACGCCAGAGGGCCCCGGTTCGGATCCCACATATGAGGGCCAGTGGCACTGCCCTCCACAGCTAAGATGCTGAACAACAGCTCGACCTGGAGCTGGGCTGCCGTGAGTCGCCGGCGACGGCATAGGCTGCAGCCCCTGCTGCAGTGGGTTGCCATGGGCTACCATGTGTAGCCAGCAACCAGCGTTAACGGCCAGCAACTGCTGTGAGCAGCTGTCCAGAAGCCAGTGACTGATCTGCCTCACCCGGGAAGATCGCAATGATGGTGCCAACTTGGGCCAGTGAAGCGACGTCCTCCACAACTAGACTGAAGAACAAAAGGACAGCAACTTGTCTGTTCCCCTCCCCCGAATTCCCCAGCGCTGTTCCCATCCCCCAATTCCCCAATAAAAATCTTTAAAAAGAAAAAAAAGATTAAAAAGGATAAGGTGTGTGATATGCCCGTGGTAGTCACTTATTCACTAGCCAACAACTGCTTGCTCAAAGGAGAGTTGCAAAACTGTGACCAAAAATCAAAACACTGAAATAAAAAAGGTATACAAAGAAAACAATGCTCCAAGAACCTCAAAACTGAATTAAATTGGTGTTATAATCTAAACCAGTGACATGAGATACAAAACTGCACGTACACATACAAATACTGAAAGTGACTAACAAGTAAGTGTTTGTCGAACGTGGCCTGCCGAGACAGTGATTTTTTTTCCCACTTTTCTGAGTTTTAAAAAATTACTCTATAATGAAATGATACAAAATGCTTATAATAAAAAAAATCATTTTTAAGATAAGTCAGTTTTAAATCACATATATATTTCTACTGAGTACACTTCAGAATATTAACACTCAAATCCTTGTAAAATTTAACACAAAAATGCCAACGACGTAAGTGGGTCTGAGAGACAACTGACCCAACAATTCGTCAGGCAACTAAAAGTCAGCACTCTGAACCAGAACACAATTCTAGGAAGGGGCAGGTTGAAAGATGTCCTAGAAACAAGAAAAGAAAGCTCCATCCAGTACAAATAACAGTTTACTTTTACCAAACACCTTATCAAATGATCTTTATGTAAATATTGCAAATGTTACAAAGCCTCTCAAAAATCCCAACATTATTTTTACAGATTAGGAAAAAAATAAAGGCCAAAAATAAGACCAATAACTCAATTAAAATAACTCATGCTTGTGTTTACATAAAAGTTGATGAGCATAATATATTCGTCACACCACTGTAATTATTCTCTGAAAATAATACTCTAAATATTATTTTGACAATGTAATTATAGTTCTTACCTCAAAAGTGGTTAACAAAAAAACTGGCACAGATACCCTGCTAAAATTCTACCAAGAATAAGGTTCTCACAGAGAAATAGTCACAAGATACAGACACTTTATTAGGAGCCAGGATTCTTTTTAAAAGAATTGTGTTAGGTTTGAACCAACATACTATCAATTTTTTTAAGTTTCACTGTTGAGCCCAAATTTCATTGTTGAATTCCAAATAAAATTTAGTAGTATCATTAGCTGCCTTTTTCAAAAAGGAAGTAAGAAGTGTCACTTTCTATTTTCCCTCTTGCCTCAGTAATAGCCTTCCAACTCTACCTATAAACTCAGGTTCTCTACTTGAAACGGATATAACTGAAATATTAAAGGTCTAAATAAGCAGACAGATGCTCCCCATTCGTGGACTGGAAGACACAGTGTCATTAAGATGGCAGCTCTCCCCAAATGGATGCATCAATTCAACATAATTCCTAGTATCCACAATATATCAGTAACTCTTACAACTTGACAAAGAAAAGACAAACAGCCCAATTAAAATCTGGGCCAAGGACCTGACTAGACGTTTCCCCAAAGAGGATTTACAAATGGCCAATAAGCACATGGGATGTTCGACATCATTAGTCATTAGGGTAATACATTCAAAACCACAATGAGATTCTACCTGATACCCATCTGGATGATTATAATCTTTAAAAGAAAAATAAATTTTGGCAAGGATGTAGAGAAACTGGAACCTTGTACATTGTTGATAAAAAAAGTAAAATGGTTCAGCTGCTGTGTAAAAGTTTGGGTGTTCCTTAAAAATGTAACTATACAGTTGCCCTAGCAATTCCACTCCTAGGTGTATACCCAAAAAAGCTGAAGGCAGGTACTCGGACATGCACGTACTTAAAGGCGGCACAAGAGCCGAATGGTAGAAACAACCCAAATGTCCATCACCGAATGAACGGATAAGCCAAACGTGGCCTAAGCGGACAATGGGATTACCACTCAGCCACGAAAAAAAATGAAGTACTGATACGTGCCACAATGTGGGCGAGCCTCAAAAAACATTACCCTACGTGAAAAAGCCAGACACAAAAGGTCACATAATTCTATGATTCCATTTTTATGAAATATCCAGAACAGGTAAATCCAGAGACAAAAACGCAGACAGCGGAATGGAGGTTGCTGGACTGGGAAATGGCAAGTGATGAAATGAGCAGAAGACGGAAAAGCTGATGATGCCGGCGAGACGGGGATTATTTCAGGAGGAGAGTTTCGGAGTGGGCGAGCGGGGACGGGATTCAACGCACCAGTGGAGCGCGGGCTCCGGCTGATAGTTATTTAATCACAGCGTGTGGACGGCACTTCCGCTGGGCACCTTATTTAAGGCCACATCATTGCAAGAGAAGCCTTCTGCCCACCACAGGGCCTCAGCGGTGCCAGTGACACACTATCCACACATCAGTGTTTTCAGCAATTACAAAACACAGCACATTCTGAACTCTTTCTGAATTACCATACCACACACGGACTTCAAAAATAGCTGCCTTTCCTTGCAAGACAGCGAAATCTGTATTTTATTGCTCATTTTTAATCCCCCAAATTGAACACTGAGGCTTCCATTTTATTTAAAATGGAGTAACAAACATAACTTTATAACATCTTAAAAACACCTTACAATTAAGTCCTATATCCTATCAATTTCTTGAGAAAATTTGAGGAATTACTATTGTCTAAAAAAACTTAGAGCAAACATGTTTTTGAATTCTTAGATAACTCAATTCAAAAAATAATTACGATTCCCAAGAATTCTAAATCAAATAGAAAGATGCAGGAATTTTAGCAAATGAGTTTTAAATGAACACACTAAGAAATCACAGACTAAAATGAGAAAATGCACCAGGCAAGGCAGCACCGCTAACAGTAACATAGCCTACTTCACTCAGCACCCCAGTTTCTATGCCTCCGCTCCCTATCTGCCCTCCTACAGCAGTCTGCATATTAACACTACAATAAGTAGGCTTCACTTTATACAGAAAGTATAGGCATTAAGAACTGTATATCCATCAATTTATAAATAAAATCATTTTAAATATAGCTGGAGGTTTCTCATTTAAAGGAGTTATTTGTTGACTTATGCTGTACTTTATTAAAAAAAATTTTTTTAACCTACAATCTAGTACATCTACTTATAAGCTAGATACTTACATTGAAATTTTCTTATTAAATGACTTAGGACTACCCATAAAGTATTTCAATTCTTTGGACAAAGAGATCCTATGCTAAAATTCTATGTTTTCTTTTATATAATGTTAAGATAATAACCCTAGTTCAAAGAAGAAGTGTTGATATTAGTTCAAGAACCAAAAACATTCAAAAAGGTCTAGAACAGCTTCCTCGTCTTCAAATTCAGAAGTTAACAATCAGAGCTAACCTCCCTTCTGTCGCACTATGTTTATTTATTTCACAGATTTAGTATCTAGCTTCCCCCACGGGGATGTAAGATCCCTGAGGGCAGAGGTTTTTTGTCTGCTTGAGTCACTGTTCTGATCGCACCCCACACCTAGAACTGAGCCTGCCACATCCTGAAATACAGAAAGACCTCGCATTACTTTGCTCAGGCGCCCTAACAAAGGCCCACCAGCTGGGAAGCTTAAACAATCCAAAGGCATTTTATGTCCTCACAGTCCTGGAGGCTGGCAGCCAGAGCTGAAGGTGTCAGCCGGGCTGGTTCTCCTGAGGCCTGTCCGCCAGCTCCCCGTGTCCCCGCACGGTCGTCCCTGTGTGTGTCTGTGTGCACAGCTCCTCCTCTTTACGTGGACACCAGTCACAGGGGGTTAGGACCCGCCTAGTGGCCTCCTTTTACCTTAATCGTCTCTTTAAGGCCCGTCTCCAGATACAACTGCTTTCTGGGGTCTGAAGGGTCAGGACTTCCACATGTGAATTTCAAGGGACACCATTCAGTCCATAAGAGGTAAGGAAGGCAGTGGCTCCAACTTCCTTTCATGGTAATTCTTTAATATCGCTAACAAAGGGTGTCATGCCATGAAACACACAACATTTGCTTTAATGCATGACGTAATACTCAAAGTATTGCTTTTTAAACCTTTTCAAAGATAAAATCATTTATGAATCATCATCCAGCAAGTTACCTGTCAGCAGGGATTCCTGTTCCACTCGCAGTTCCCGAAACAGAAGAATCAAATCAACAGCAACGCCGATTGTATCCAAGTTCCTGTATCAGGTTGTTAAAAAAGACAAAGTTAAATGCCTTCTTTTCCCAAAGCCTGCATTTCAAATCACCCCAAAACAGTGCTGAGACTGCTGGCGAACAGTTCCTGTGGTAGCAGAACAAGGGTCTCCAAAGGTGCCCCACTGTACTCCCCCAAACCCGTGAATATGTCACCTTGCACGGCAAAGGGGACTTTCCAGCAGGGGAGACTAAGGACCCTGGGATGGAAAGAGCATCTGGGGAGGCCTCACATAACCACGGGGTCCTTAGCAGAAGGATGCAGAGGGTCCGAGTCAGAAGGGTTAAACAAGGTGCTGCAGGGCAAGCCCTGGGACACAGCCTGCTGCTCCGGGCAGGCTCGCCCAACGCGCCTCCTGCCCGCCGTAACCGCCAGCCCACAGCCAGAGGTTCTGTCTGAGGCTCCCTCCCTCCCCTCCTCCGTCACACCAGGGCCTCCCTGCCTAGAATAAACTAGTCTCTGGCCCACTCTGCTAGCACATAACTAGATATGTTTTTTAAATGTTAACTATTATTATCAAGATTATAATTGTTTCTATCCATTTATCTGCAAATGGATGGCAGGTTTGGTTTAGAACTGAAGTTCAACAATCCTAGCTTTTCTCCCCCTCTCCTTTTCATCTGAAAAAATCTCATTAATCATATCAAAGCCTCGGGTCTAAGAACTGTCTGGGCAGCGAAGGGCGTCCCTCAAGTGGCTTCTGGACCAGTCCGACTTCACCCGTCACAGCAGTGACAGGGAGGCCTGCAGGCTCTCTGTACATTCAAGTTCAGGAAAGAAAGGTGAGCGCGTTCTTTGTAGCGTCTGACTTCATCTCCAGTAAGAAATGTTAATGAAAAGGCAGATTCCATAAAATCAAAGAGCAAAGGCGCTCAGGTCTGGAGAGAGAGAGAGGGCATGTAACCGGGAAGAACGGCCATGTTACAGGCAGCACATTAAAAGACCGTGGCAGGGAGCTGGCCACTTCACACCAGCTTAGGGGAATCGTAAGAGAGGTCTTCTTAGAAATTCACAAAACGTGCTCCCCGTTCAAAGTAAACACAAGGGTAACGAATAAAAACATTTACAGCTACGACAAGTGAGGTCCAGAGCTGCCTATGCATTTGGGCAGGCAAAATCTAGGATCCAAGACGGCAAATCAAGTTCAAATCACTGTGCTATGGAGAAAACCAAACACCTCAAAACGTATTATAAATGCAAATGAGAAACCTGGATACCCTGTCATGTTAAGCACATTCTATTACCTATTACATGTTCTACCACTTATGCTCAGAGCAGTCTGCCCTGTAGGTGGTAACAATGGCTGCACTGGGATGCCCAAACGCCTCCTACCAGATGCACCGATATGACAGACCTAGCAGGCGCACACAGAAACGATGGGAAAGGCGTACATGGCACTGCAAAGAACACTACCTGATTGAGTTCTGGTTCACGGAGCACTCGATGCAAGCGTTCCGCAGACACCGGAAGCACTCTGTAATTAACTGTAGACTGGAGGCCAGCTGGTCCACTTGGGATGGGTCCCTGCAGGCCAGCTCAACCGCCTGAGATGATTTCTTCAAGATATCCAGCACTCTTTGGAAGATGGTCCTGGGCGCTGTCTCTCTGAAAAAAAAGGACACAGTGATTACAAAGCAGAAAAGGGTGCTCTAATTTCCAAATCTCCTGTGCAGAACACTACTTGGACTCCTTTCTGTGGGGAGGCGGGCTAGGCCTGTCTCTCCCAGCTCAAAAGTAAGCACAAATACTGAGTGCTTACTCCGTGCCAGGCCCTGTTCTGATCAACCTTTTCGTGTATCGTCGCATTTAATCTGTGTGTTAACTTTATGCAGCCAATGCTGTCTTCTCCACTTTAAAGGTAAGGTAACTGAAGTAGAGGGGAATTTAAATGACGTGCACATATCACTCAGGTCATCCCGGCCAGAGCCACCATTCCAACTAAAGCAGCCTGACTTTGTTCCCACCCCACAGGACAACCCAGTCCCAGTGTCAGGTGACGGGATTCATGCTTCTGGATCTGCCCTTAATCCAACCGGAATGTTTATATTTCATGTTCCAGAGAGAGAATACAGCCATGTCCTCTGTCACCCAGTATGTCCCTACAGTACAACTGTATTCACAAAGGACTGCCTAGGCGGCAAATACACTATCCATTCTCTAGTACAGACAAGCTGGGGGTGCGGGAGAGAAAGATATCACTTAACTACATAGGTGGGGGTGGAGGGAGGAGACAGACACAGACAGAGACCCAGAGAGACCGCATGTGCGCCCGGGGAGGAAAGGAGCCTGCGGCCGTCCGCCAGGCCTCTCAGTTCCCACACGCCTCTCACGCCAGGAGCACGACCTGCAGTGGCTATCATTCCAGAGCTCTGAAGACAAGAACGTTTTTGTACAACATGGCACCTCTATGCGAGCCAACTTCCTCATTCCGTGACTCCCCTAAAGAAACAGCAATCTGTTTTCATGGTAGAAGAAATACTGCTGTGTGGGCAATTTAAGAGATGCTCGCAGAGTAACTCTGACCATGGGAATTGGCTCCCTTTGGAATCACAACCCCATTCAGCTCAGCCTTGCACTAAGCCAGACCTCCAGGGAGCTGCACATCTGCACAGAAGTACTGGCGTGCGATGCCCCGAGCCGCTGTGCCCGCTCAGGTGCTGGCCCGGACACCACACGCCCTCCCTTCCCACCTTGAGCTTCAGGACCATGAGCACTTGTACTCAAGTGGCGCGTTTTTATCTTACGGACAGATACATAATACAAGCCACACTACTCATCTCCATCTGCGCCTTTCAAACATCTGGAGTCAAATCAACAACCATCTTTAACACTGAATCCCACAGCAACACCAACCTGATTTTTCCTGTCTGGCTTTTTCCCTTCTCTCCAATCTCCTCCCTTATCTTTTTTTTTTTT